TGCGGTAAAGACAGGTCTGGGCAGGAGGAGAGTGCAGTGCAATCAGTGCACTCCCCTCCTGTGGGTCACCAGTAGACTGTGCAAGGATTTTTGCCGCCCTAGCCAAAAGAAAAATTTGCCGCCCCCCCATGTGACATCACAATGCCCCACCTATATGATCTGCCATATGAACTAATGCCAATGCTGCACACAGTGTGTGTTTACATTAAAAAGCCTGCAGGGACCGGCTATAGACACCAGAACCACTTCATTAAGCTGCAGTGGTTCTGGGGACTATAGTGTCCCTTTAATGTGAGGTAAATTATAGATTAGTGTCACTAATAATATACTAGATTGCCTACTTACAACCAGATGAAGATGCTAATGGGCTGCAGTTTGGCTCCACTGGTCTGGTGTAGAACAGGATCTCTGGAGGCTGTTTGTAACTGTGGTCACAAAATTCAAAGTTCTAGTAGAATGGGAAGCAGTTCCATTTTTTTGGGGCCCCTTACACAGCTCAAGGTCTGGGCCCCAGGGCCTGATGGTGAGTATGCCCATAAGGCCCACCTGTAAGTCCACCTACATGTTCCACCCATGAGTTCGCTCACAGGGAGTGGAGTGTGTAGGGGATGTGTTATGTGTTATTGTAGAGGATCTAATGTGTGTGCTTATGGTATGTAGTGTATAGGGATACCAGATTGTGTAGGCGATGCAGTGTGTGTTTGTGTATAAGAGATGTATTGTGTGTTCTTGGTTGTGTGTAAAGGATGCATTGTGTGAATCTGTGTTTGTATGCATAAGGGATGCAAGGTGTGTATCTGTAAGTGTGTGCATTGAGTGTGTGTAAGAAATGCATTGTGTTTCTGTGTATATGTAAGAGAAGCAGTGTGTGTGTTTGCATGTGTGTGTAAGGGTTTGCATTGTGTGTTTCTGTGTATGTGTGCAAAGGATGCATTGTCTTTGTGTGTAATGGATGCATTGTGTGTTTCTCTGTGTGTAAGGGAAGCATGTTGTGTTTCTGTGTGTGTAGGGATGCATTGTGTGTTTCTGTGTATGTATTGGGGTGCATTGTGTGTGTGTGTGTGCGCATAGTGTGAAAGAGCTCCCTGTCCTGCCCCCTGTCCTATAGAGCTCTCCCTTCTGTCCTTTAGTGGTCTCTCCTCTCCCCTACCCTCCTCCCCTTGCAGTCTCTTCTCACACCCACCCACCCTCCCTGTGCTCTTCTCCTCTCCCCCCCAAACCTCTGTTCTTTTCACCCCTGTGTTGTTTCCTCCTCACTCCCTCCTGTGTTCTCCTTCCCCCCTCCCTGTGTTCCTCACCTTCCACTCCCCCCATGTGTCTCCTCCCCTCCCCAGTGTCTCCTTCCCCTGATTCTCCTCACCCCAACCCTCCCTGTGTTCTTCCAGTCCCCCACACCTGTGTTCTTCTCCCTCCCCCTCCCTGTGTTCTCTCATCTCCCTTTCTCCCTCCTCCCTGTGTTCTTCTTACACCTCCTCTGTGTTCTTCTTACTCCCCCTGTTCTTCTTTTCTCTTCTGTTCTTCTTAATTCCCCTCCCTGTTCTCTTAATCCCCCCCCCCCGTTCTTCTTAACCCCCAAACCCCCCCTGTTCAGGTGAGGGGAGGGGAGAAACTGTGCTGCAGCCGCCAGAGGCTCTTAATAGAGCGCTCAGGTGGCTGGAGTATTAGGACCGGCCCTGCAGCGGCCGGTTTTAAAAAGATTTAGGGCGGCCTGGGGGGCAATTGCCTTCCTGCCCCCCGGCCAGCCCTCCCCTGTCATTTTATCTACCTTGGAACCCTGCTGGGATTCTGAACCTGCAACCCAAGGGTTGAACAAATTCTACTGATGATGCATTAGCCCACTGAGCTATCTCAACAGGAAAGAATCAGGTGACATGTAATCAGCAACAGCTAGAGTGCCAAAGGTTGGCTTCCCCTGCTCTAGAGTAATGATATTGCTATCTAATGCATAACTTGGTATGCCATTGTGGAGAACCACTTCCCCAAACCAATAGTAGAGAATCAAATTCACCGTTTTAACAGGGCAGGCACATCAATGAAGGTTTATTGGAAAGAGGTTTATCGGTCAAAGATCTTAAAGGGACACACCGGGCACCAATGCAAAGTTAATGCATTTGATATAGTTCAGCCTCATTAATGTGCTAGCTTGAAACTTTATAGTTTTTGTACAAAATGAATGTTCTGCATCATAAGCCTCTATTCTTAACCACGCCACTCATGCCAGACATTCTAAGAAACTGTATCAACACAGTCTCAGCCCCCACAGCACAGAGTGAGTGGCAGAGAGTCAGATAAACTATAATGTTTAGGGATATCACTAACAGGTAGTGATATCTTACTATATGCCTCCCATAAAATGCGGCATAAACAGTGATTAACCCCATAGTTTCCGGGGGTGCAGCTCTACCTCTAGCAGCATCATTACCCAGCCCAGAACAAAATTCCAGCCTGGCAAATGTAAATTCTATGCAAAGTATTCATCTGACTCCAGAAAAAAAAAGCATGCTGGTGTCAGACAGCCAATGGCTGCAGGTGTATGCCTTTGTTCTGTAATTTAACAAAGAGTTATCTCTCAGTTACTGTGGAGAGAGTTACAGATGCAGAAGACAGGCCAGTGTCTCTGATCTTCCTCTCTGTTACGGTAAAGGGATGCATAAAAGTGGTAGTGGTATCAGTGTCTGATAAGGGTATCAGAGTCCAATCTTTCAAGCAGTAGCCACTGTACAACCCAGTCTAGAAACCAAGGTGAATGGAAAGTTCAATTTGTACTAGATGTTACAGTTGTAGAATTGTTCTTATTTGGTATTTATTTAGCACAAACATATTCTGCAGCGGAGTACAATAGAGAGAATATAAACAAATAATGGCAATGTACCGATACTAAAAGGAACAGAAGACCCTGCCCATGAGCTTATAATCAGCAAATACAGTACCTTTATACAAAGTGCTTAGCAAGATAATGTGTGAACTTACAATTGACACAAAAAGGTTGCAGTATGTATATGACATAGTGGCCAGAAACGGGTTATATATGCAAATAAAGGGTTGCTTGTGATTAAAATGCTTGTGATTGTCATTAAGTAGTTAAAAGTAGAGAAAGCAGGATGATCTTGCAATTAAGAAATGTGGAGCATGGTGAGTGGTAGCAAAACATTTGGATTGATTGTTGAGGGAATCGGAAAGGTGAATCTGGATACAGAAGTTGTCTTTTCAGATCATAGTCCGTTGGTGACTCCTGAGAACCGCTTTGAAGAACGCTGAGCTATATCACTGCAGATTCTAGAACAGAGGACAAAAAATTCGTCCAAATCATATATATATATTGTGTGTGTTTTGCTTCTCAGTGTTTTACATATTTTATGATGCCACTTTATTAAGAATATAGCGATATAAAATTTGACGTGACATTTGTAAAATTTAAAGAATGCATATTAATATGAAGTTTTTTTTTCATTTTCCAGTTGATCTAAAGCTGAGATCTGCAAAACTAACAAGGATGGATGCTTCCTGATGTTGATTCATTTAAAATCTGTCCATCTATGTAATATCAATACAAGGATAAAAGAATGTTGCACTTTGAATCTTTTTAAAGATATTGTGAGCAATGTACATTTTCTGATGTAATTTCAATTTTAGAAGTTACCTTGCAACAAACTGTTGTTCTATATATTTAGAAGTTTAAGATGGCATAAATGTAATTGTCATGTTAATACTAATATCATAAATGCATAACAGGATCTATAGTGTATACTACATGGATCTGAGTCACCCTTGAAATCCAGTGTGGATTTCAGCAGTTAATTACCAGCAAATGAAGGTACATTACAAATGAAATGAAACATGTCTATATTGGGCCTCTCAGGCACCCTGATCAATTTGTGATTTATTTCCCATATAAAATCTTATTTTTATAAAGGTTGAATTAGGATAAATATGGACTCCCACATACATCTGTAATGTGGTGCACACTTGTTACGAGACCATTAAATATAATCCAATGCTTTGAAATTATAATGTACAGGGTTTTCACTATGCAAAAGTGTAAAATGTTAATCTATTGTTTTCGTGAGATTTTAGTGTAATATTGTTTGCATAATTTCTAACAGAACAAACATATGCTCATCAAGAAGTAATTCTGACACTTATTAACAAAACATTCATCTATTAATGATTTTACACTGTAGCACTCTTAGAATTGCAGTAATATTATATCTGTTTGAATGAATTTTGCTATTTTGCCAGGGTCCAAAACAACATTCAATGCAACAACATTCATTCGTTCGTCTTAGAAGAAGTTCAGCGAAGTGCTCAGTCTAAATGCTCTTTTTAATTATACATATGTGCCTCTTTTCTCTAACATCATTGGGACTCAAATTCATTTTAGTTTTCTTCTATGCTGTAAACCATTACAAATAAAGTATGTCAATTTCATAGTACGCCAAGTTTATTTTGTTGAATATCTTGTGACATAACTACAATGTATTTTATTTATTCTTTTGCTTAGAGATGTTTGTGTTACAAAACAAACAAATAAAAGAACAAAGTCTGCAGGTGGCAGAGATTTCTCACGTACTGGTCATAACTGGAAAGCCTTAACCATTTAAAAAAAAAAATGACTATGATAAAACAACATTTTGCTCTACTGTGCAATTAAGAAGAATTAATTGGGATACAAATGAAGTTGGAAAATAGATCTGCTTACTAAAGGAAAAAACTATGGCCCAACTAGCAAACCCCAAGACTCCACAAGTCTCTGTGACTTTTGAATTTATCTTTAGAAACATAGCTTTGAAAGAAAACATTTATAGGATCACCAAAGTCACCCAGACCACTTCATCTGAATGAACTGGTTTGGGTGCAGTGGTCCTGTCCTTTTAACCCTTCCATCTAGCATATGGCTGTTTTTGTTTAAACAGCAATGTTTACAGTGCAGGGTTAAATGCACCTCTAGTGGCTTTCTTCTGAAAACCACTAGAAGCACTTTTGCCTCCATACTAGTGTTAAAGGACCACTATAGACACCCAGACCACTTCACCTCATTGAAGTGGTCTGGGTGCCAGGTTCCCCCTAGTTTTAACCCTGCAGCTGAAAACATAGCAGTTTCAGAGAAACTGCTATGTTTACACTGCAGGGTTAATCTAGCCTCTAGTGGCTTTCTCCCTGGCAGCCTCTAGAGGCCGCTTCCGCCATTTACACTGAGTAAACCGCACTTATTTGACGCTTTATGCCCTCGCGCAGTCCAGCGTCAAATAAAATCCTGAGTTTGAATGCGCGCGCTCCTCTGGCCGCACATGCGCATTCGGCTCCACTCGGGAGTGACGTCTATGGAGGAGGAAAGGTCACCAGCGCTGGATTAAGGGTTTTATCCCCTTCAGCGCTGAGGGAGGGGGGCACTCCAAGAGCCTATAGTGCCAGGAAAACGTTTTTATTTTTTTCTGGCACTATAGGATCCCTTTAAAACCGACTATTCAGTCAGATGGTTTAATAGAGATTTGATTGGCACAGCATGTCATTTTGCACATACACACTAGCCTTCCAATGCTTCTCTATGGCAATGGAGTAAAGGCAAGTAATACTTAACTTTTAAACTCTCAAAGGCCACCAATAGGTAGGGGAACACTATTGCATGAGGATTATATGTTTGTATTTCTGACGCTTTAGTTCCATTAAAAAAATAAAATCTTGTAACTGTTCTAATTGGTGTTTCATCGAGCATAAACCTTGTATATTGTGTACTGAAGTTGTCTTATGACACAGATTAAAATATATCAATTTCAGAAAGAAAATTCTTTAAAATTGTTCATGTACTTAAATCACAACAAACAAGTAGTGAGAAGTAAGCGTGGGAAAAAAAGAAAACCAAATGATGCTGTGACATTGCATGTAAATATTTTTAATATCAGCAAGGCTACCCTGTATCAGCTCATGCACTGTATCATTATTCAGAATGTATTAAAAGTACATTCACGGCACAAACACAACTTACTGCATGTGAAAGGTTATGGCCACACCAATATACTGTGTTTTGGTATACAAGAACAGGCAGATGCTAAGAAGATCACCATGCCATTTAATGATGGCCACGTGGCATTTATATGCAAACTTTTCAGGCACAAGTCCTTTCTCAATGTATAAATGTACCCAATTAATAAAAACATACAATAAGCACATATAAGCCTTACAACCTGTAAAAAGCCACACCAGAAACTCCTCCAAAGTGAAAAAGGCTCCTCTTGTGTGACATCACTCACCATGCATGCGCAATAGAGAAATACTAACTAATGCAAGGCACATCTGGGGCTCTTAAAAGTTAAATACAACTTAAATCAAACACAGTATATGTACTGTATATTGTGGTTGCTAAGCAACAATCAAAGCTAGATCAATACATTATTATTCAGGACAGACATGTCAAAAATAAGAATTTTTTTAAGACTGTTGACACCAATAGCTACATCAATAAGAAGAGCTGCCACCACAGACCTTGGCTCAACAATGCGCCTAGGGGGCAGTTTTTAAGGATCAGGCGTAACTGCACAGAAGATCAAGACTTTTTAAATTAGGCAGAAAGGCTTAAAGCTCAATTCCTAGAGAGAGGCTATGAAGAAGAAAAACTAAGAGCAGCGAAAGAAGACGTAAGAGACATTCCAAGAGAACAACTTCTGATTTATAAGGAGAAAAACAATGAACAGCACAAAAATGAGTGAAGTCCCTTTAATTTGCCATTTTAATGGAGACTGTAAGAGAGTAAATAGAGCCATTAATAAATACTGGCACATTCCGCACGATGACCCAATCCTGAAGAAAGTTTTACAGAGACAACCGAAAATTGTCTACAGGGGAGCGAGGAATCTAAAACAATCCCTCATTCACAGTAGCAATAACACTGTAATATGTAAACATTTTTAAAATCAGTCCAAAGGTTTCTATGGCTGCGGGTCATGCCTTCACATGCAGATCCCCGAAAAGCAACAAAAAACATAAATGACTACATTAATAAAGAGTTTACCATCAGAGACCCACTTTCATGCTTTTCTAACGGGGTCATTTATGTACTGAAATGTCCCTGCAACCTATTATATATAGGAAGACCTATACGATGCATTAATGTTAGAGTAGCAGAGCACATAAGAAACATTAAAAAGGGATTGGGGCCCATTGTGTCTCCAGCCGTTTTAAGATGTTTCATAACCAAAATCCCAAAGTTCTCTTTTTCTGTGCTCTTAAGTGAGTTAGAAGGAATTGGAGATGAGGGGACTATAACAAACAGATGGGCACCGAAGAGATGAAATTCATTTTCAATTTCAATATACTTGTCCCACACGGTTTAAATCATGACTTTGAACTTTGTCACTTTTTTAAGCCTGTTGTTTAACCCATATTACCACTGCTGTTAATATCCCTCTTCCTCATCTAGATACATAGTCCATTTGGAATTTAGTTTTTAATTTGTAACGTTTCAAGGAGAAAGAGATACTGTCTTGCGCATGGCCGCTGCCTCAATGGAACGCATAAACATACATCATGCGTTCCATTGACGCACGAGGAGCGCGACTAGAAATATATTAACGACATAGGGGTATAACGCATGGTGCGTTCCAGACACTGAAAACTGAAGTCGGAAGAGAGTTGCCGGCGAGTATTTAAAGGACCACTAGTTTTCCTGGCACTATAGGGTCTTTAGGTCCCCCCCACCCTCAGGGTCCCACTCCCGCTGGGCTGAAGGGGTCAAACACTTACCTTTCTCCAGTGCCGGGCTCTCTCGGCGCTGGGGAACTCTCCTTTCTCAGCCAACATCAGCTCCGAATGCGCACGTGTGGCAAGAGCCGCGCGCGCATTCAAACATTCCATAGGAGAGCATTTCTCAATGCTTTCCTATGGAAGTCCAGCGTCTTCTCACTGTGATTTTCACAGTGAGAATCACGGAAGCGGCCTCTAGTGGCTGTCAGTTAGACAGCCACTAGAGGCTGGATTAACTCTAGTTTAAAACTATGTTTTCAGTTGTAGGGTTAAAACTAGATGGACCTGGCACCCAGACCACTTCATTGAGTTGAAGTGGTCTGGGTGCCTATAGTGGTCCTTTATGATGCCAAAGAGCCCTGAAGGATTATACCGACTGAGGAAGCCCTAGCTACAGGGTAAAACACATTTCGGATAAACACAAAATTTTTAAGAGATGTCATAGACTTTTATTATTTATGGTATTCTCCGTTTTATTTTTTATCACATGTGAAATAAAGGATTGCCTTAATTGAAAAAGAGCCTATGCCCCTTTTTTCAGCGACCAGCAGCACCTTAAGGATATCATATAGAGCAGGTGAAGGGAGGACGGGGACATCATGGAAATAGTCCCACTACGCTTCTCATGTGAGCCATATGTTTGGATTTGGCTCCATGTTTGTGAGTAACATTACTACTACCTATTATTTACCAGTTGTACAGATTACATTCAATATTGTGCCACTTTTTCCCACCCTAAAATTCCTGCTCAACTTAGTTAGGAGCCAATAAATGTCTGGCTTCAAGTTTGTAGACTTACTGTCAGCTAAAGGATGACAATGCACTCTTAGGAACCCAGGAAGGAATCAGTAGTAGGTGTTGAATTCAGCAAAACGTATATTAATAAATAATTAGAAAGTAATTATTTAAAAATAGTAACAACTATATCAAATAAATTAAATCAATAATAAACACTGGTATCCTCACTCCGTGACATGTTTTATATGTCCATCAGTATCCTGCTTGTTCTGGGTTCCCCCTCTTGGAGAGGAATGGAAGTTAATTGATCCAGCAATCTGTGCACTATTTTGGAGGGCGTGGATATGGGATTAGAAATGTCACAAATGCAATGTGTCTGCTGGTTCCACCAACTTAAATGGTGACTGACCCAATTTTAGTACTTTAGATCACTTTTCAGAACAGACCATTTTTTATACATAACCCCCAATGTTCTATGTAATAAATGTGAGGCAATGGTAAGAGTTACATTATCTACTGTGGAGAGTCAGAGAATAACAGAGAATGGAGGAGGATTATCAAAAGCAAGGGACCAGAAGAAATGAACTATGAATTGAAGTCATACGTAAGTTTCATTTTGTGTCTTTGTAATGAGTGTGGATGATTCTTTGAATAGTTGTAGATGCAGGAGGTTGGGTAACAGCATTTTGTTTTTGGACCCACACAGCACCAATTCTTGGACAAGCCATACGTACAAGCAATAAACATTTTTTTTCACACAAAATATAAGACTGTTGATGTTTATAGTGCACTGAAGAAACGTACTTAATTAACAGAGACATTAGGCAAAATACCAAAACCAATGTCTTACCAATCTCTCTTCTATATGTTCTGGGAAAATCTGCCATTGGTCTGGGATTAAAGGATTGGTATATATCATATTTGCACTTGGTGTGTTAGTCTGCACTTCCATATTTGCTCAGCACTTGATTAAAACATTTGTAGCATATGACAGAGATTGATATATTCAATCTACTTATACTTGAATTATCTCTTTACACAGAAATGTGCACTTAGCACTTTTCGCCTAAAACCGTGTTTTTGGTATCTTGCACTTTGGTGGGGTTGACTAGAGGCAACAGTCTAAATGCTGCACTTGATAGGCAGTGTATATTATAAGTTGATAGCTACATGCAATACGGAGACATTAGAGTTTACCATTGGAAAATGAGTAGCCTAATATGAAAGTCCCAGCATATTTTCTATACTATGACATCTGAAATCCAGAAACGATATAGCTACAACATACAAATATTAATGTGATTAATGTACAGAGAAGGCTCCCATAGTCATAACCAGTGTGTGTTATACAGAATGTGTTATATCAAGCCATCTCATAGATTGATATGATTTAGTACTTTCTAAAATACAAACCACTCCCAGTCCACACTTTATTAACCTCACCTTCTTTTCAATATTTATCACACACTCTGAACTATAATGAAAAAAAAAAAAAACACAGAAATTAAGATCAGCATTTGACTGGTCATTTTTAATTGGTCCATTTTTGGATAATTAGCAGTTATTAGAATATGTTTATATTGATCATTGTGTGATAGTTTGATCACATACATTTTCAATAGTTTTTGTAAAAAGTAGATCTTGTCATAATTTATAAGGTTGCTAATTTGTGTCAGTTTAGTTAAGCGATGGAAACAAGTGTAGACTAGTCTAGACATCAGACTGAAAGTCAGATGTGAAACAGAACAAATTTAGAACACTCCAGTATTACTAAATAACATTAACCATAATATAAAATTAATTAACTAGGAGAAATTAATTTAGCTTTCACTAGTAGGACCTGTGGTTTATCATTTATAATGATCCAATTTAATGGCACTCATTTCATCGACCTTTGAAAGATAAAAGGCTTTGTTGATCCTTTTGTTCCCACGGGAATAGCTGTTGGAACAGCTCTTTTACTATGTGCTTCCTTGCACCACACATTTCCCAGGCTCCATACTACTACTGGGTGGGACAATATAAAACCCAGTAAGTTGCTAATGAAGAAAGAAACAAGCAATACTTAACACTTCTTAGAAGAAAAACAAATATTGTTTTACAAATTTAATGATACACACAGTGTATATAAGTAAGTAACAAATTAAACAGAAAATGTTTCTTTAAAATTAAACATATTTTAACATTGCATCTCATCGGTTTACAAAATAAACACCCACAATCCATATTTTAGTCTTTGCAGTATTTTCAATCAATTGTACAAGCCAGTAGTGCTTCAACTTCCATTTAACTGTGTAGACATTTATCACGGAATACAGTTTTTAAAGTTCAAAGTGAGCTACTATAATGCAGAGGCGGAGACTGGCTTGATTTCGTCCAGTGTTCCAAAGCATCCGACCTGCACCTCTACTTGAAGATTAGTAGGCTGGAATATAAAAAGATTAGTTGCAAAAGGGGAAAACAATAAAGCTGTGCCATATATCCTCTAGACCAGGCTTCCCCAAACTCTGGTCCTTCAGATGTTGCTGAACTACAACTCCCATGATTCTCAGCCTATTTCATTCATAGAATCATGGGAGTTGTAGTTCAGCAACATCTGGAGGGCCGGAGTTTGAGGAAGCCTGCTCTAGACGGTAAGCTCGTTTGAGCAGGGCTTATTGTTCCTGTGTCACTTTGTAATTATCTAATTTATTGTAAATTCCCCCTCCCCCCTTTCACAATATTGTAAAGCGCTGTGGAATTATTTGGCGCTATATAAATACCAATAATAATATATGGATAAAGAAATAAACTGGCATCCTCAGAGAACTCTTACACCATCTATATCATACTAAAAAGCAGATAAGGTCTGTGGCTATCCATCATACCTGTCTTGTGTGACAGTCCTAATATTGGGTCTGTGTCCTACAATCCCGATATCTACATCTATTATACTGCTTCTGATGACATTGGTTTAAAAGAATACTTTGATCATCATAAAATCTACATTGTGCTGTAGTGGTTTTGGTGCCAGGAGTGCCCTAGCCATTGTGTCACACTGTTTTTTTAACATTTCGACTTTTTACTTGGGATCTTCTGGGTGCCGCTTCTCTCCTCCTCTCTGCAACTAGGAGAACCAGAAGCTCCTACTTAAAAGCTTCCATAAGCTAAGTTTGGCCTCCTTCAGGCTAAGCTCAGACTTAGAACTTCCTGTTCTCTGAAGACTTTAAAAAAAAAAAGTCACATTACCAGCCGTGGTGACTTGATAAGGGATGCAATGCGATGTTCACTCTCCAAGCTACGCTCCGGCCTCTCCAACAAAATGCGAGTGCTGGGGACAAAGCTCCAAGAACGACCCAGGGCTGGCCGGATGCCATTAAATCCATCTTTAGTGACGTGATTTGTTGTCTGTATTCAAAACAATCACAAAAAGACATCAACTTCAACCAGATGTTCTGAAACAGTACTTATTCTGAAACACTGGGGTGATTTTCTATATTTTTTTTGTTGTTGTTGCTGTCTCTGACAATGTTAAAAGCATAACATTACCAGTCATAAACCTTTAATAGTGTTTGTTGCCATTACAAATACAAGTATTTTTAAAGAACCCTTTATGAATTTTGACAAAATAGTGTAGACTGTTTAGCTTGTGCAGACTTTCCTGTCTCAGTCTGGAGTTCTAGAAAGCACGTGATCATAGTATCCACTAAGAATTTCTGCAAGAGTGCATCACTTACTGATGAGGAGTGATTGCAGTTGAGATAAGTTAAAGACACTTGAATGTCTGGAGCATTTCTGTGTCCATGGCAATGTCAGCATCATTGCCCCTCGATGCTCTGGGTACTCTTGGGCATATGTAGAGAAATGCAGTACAAGTACATTTGCAGAATGTAAGCACTTGGGTGTACAGTATTGTAAGGGTTACATCTGCATGTTTTGCTCTGACTATGCCAGTAAAGAAACAGAAGAGAGCATAAACTGCACCCAATTCCTGAAACCATAGGATACTTACTGAAGTAGGACCAGCAGATCCTCAGCATATGGAGTCCTGCGCTTTCCAGGAATTAGTGTGGTCCCTTCTCTTTTCTGTGCTGCTCTGTTTTTTGATACAGTATATCTGCTTTGTCTCTGAACCCTGTGAGTGCCTGATGCTCCTTCTTCCATGTACCATATGCCAGTAAAGCCAGGCACATAATATAAATTTAAAAAAAACTAAGTAAACATGCTACACAATAAGAGCAGATATAGACAATCACTTGTCAAGCTGCTATTTCAGAACAGACAGGACTAGCTTGGAGAATATAGCATAGTATGTGCAGATTTGCGAAAATACGTAAGAAAATGCTCCAAATAAATTGTTTTCGTACCAACAACAAAAAAAGCAAAGGCTACTTTTGAAATTTAGTAATTAAAGGGTTCTCCAACCCTTTTTTTACTATTACTTTATTTGTTATTTGTAATGCACTATTGCACACTAGTAACTACCCTTGGGCATCACTCTATTTCTAATTGAAAAACCTGTAAAATAAGAATAAAAACTTTCCTCAAAGGTCTCCTCAATTCTTTCCACATTCTGTCCGTCGTCACATTGTGTAATTTCTTCCCTCTCTGAGGTCCAATCGAATTCTTCGCTATGAGAAGCATTTGATTGGTCCGATCATCAGGCTCAGAGCACATACGTACACTGTGAGCAGAGAGGAGGAGGGAATGTTGGATGGACTAGGGTGGGCATTAAAAAAAAAATAAAAAAATATTGGTAGGCAGGGAGTGATCTCAGAATGGACATAAGGAAAATATAAGCTTCTCCTTGTAGGCGTGCTCACAGTGCTGAAGTCTGTTTCCAGTGTGCTGACAAAATACATAATTTTTGCATTGATTTAACATAATGCTGTCCACAACAGAGTTTCGGTCTGCTTATGTCACGTGTGCCGGTGGTGCAACTAAGCCATGGCGCAAAAGTGCAAATATCTCTGTATATGCAGCGTTTCAAGCAGACATGCTCCACATACAGATTGCTTGCTCCATGACCACTTCCAAAGGGAACTGCATTCCCAACATTTTTATGTTTACTTGTCTATTTAACAAATATGTATTTGTGATGTGTGAAAAATAAAATTACAGGTAGCAATGAACACTATTTTATTTATTATCTTCCAACTGGATGCCTCCATTGTTAAAACTTCTGTCCTTTGCACCAGGCACTCAGCATAAAGAACGCATAAAGAGAAGAGGAAAATTTTTGTTTCTATTTCTCCTGTTCATTTGCAATGTGTGCTCAAGTTGTGCCTGCAATGAAGTGAACTGTGATGCCATTTTCTAAATCGAAACAATAATTTAAAAGGAATTATTGAGCATCGCATGACAAAAAGATTAACTCAAGTTATGGGTGATTATCAATTATAATTTTTATATCATATAAATTCCAGAGTCGTGACAGTTCTCCTTTAATAGCATTTGATTGAAAAAGAAAAAAAGTGTATGTTTAAAACAGTTACAATGTAAACTCACTAGAACAGCTAGTTTGAAGTCATGTGCCAACATCTGTAATTCCTTCGCTAAATACATCATAATAGCCATACCTAAAGAAGAGAGCAAAGAAATTTAAAGCTTAGCAACACATCACATCCAAACACAATGATCAAATTGGTCCCTGTTTGTCTTTACAAAATTTATATTTGAAAGAATTTAAAAAAGGTAACTAAAACAAAGGGACATCAAGTGTAAATCACTGTCATTTGGAACTTCCCAATTATACCATATCAGACTTTGCTGACAATCACAGTTCTCACACACAGCTATTAGATATCTGCCACCTGTGGAAGCTATAAAATCATCAATTTCAAATGTTCCATAGGAAGTTATTGGAGCACCCTCAATGGTTGAGGACTTCCTTGACTGGTCCGTGCTAACTGAAAGTAAAGTCTGGAATTTATTGCAAATGCTGGAACGTTTATCAAATGTTAACCTAAAATTATCTACACAAAGCAATAGAACGAAACCGGTCAGATTTAGCCTGGAGTGACTCTTTAACACTATATGGATTATGATAAAATATAATTTACTGATTTGAGATAAAGCCATACCCAGTTATTTTAATATATTTATCCTTACCTACCTTCTGTCTGTTTGCCTCCGAGTATTGGATAAATAACAGCACAGACAGAATCAATAATCACAAGTCGAAGTGGTTCCCCAGATCTCAAAAGCTGAAAAACAGATAATGTAATTAATTCTTTATGTGACTAATGTTTAAAATAAAAATTGATACACTGTACCTAACAGTTAATACAAGATAATGTTTACTACACTGACTTTAATCAGACATAACATTTTTGCAAGCAACATGAACAAACCGGATTTAGACATGTGTTGCTTTAAAAAAAAAAAAAAAAAATTATATACATACACATAAAGATTAAAGCATGCAACTTAATTTGACTCAAAATGGGTTACAGGGATGGAATAACATCGTATACAGTGCACTTATCCAGAGAGAGTGATACTAATCAATAATGTGCAATTTAAAATGGCTTTCAATGCTCATTACAAAAACATTAGACAAATCCACCACGCCATTATTTGTCTCTTACAACACCTTCATACCATACAGATTGCAGTGTCTTCATTCAGGGGTGAGTGTGTTTGTTTCAATGAACTTTGAATAACTTAGTATTTTAATAATAGGTTTGATAGATGAGATCTAAAATTAATAACAACTTCTTTACCTACCTCTGCTGCTTTGTTCCCCTTGGTTAATGTTGTAATAGCACTTAATAGCGTGACAGAACAATGAACAGCTAAGGTTAATTGTTTGTAGCCTACAACAAATGTATGCTATAATAGAACATCAATAGTGCAATGGTAATGCTTCCAGGAGCTGGACTCTATGACCTATATAGTAGGGGAGGAAACCAACTTTAATGTAGATGTGCATGTGGATGGCCAGACCCACTCAGTTGAGAATCAGAAAATACAATACACTATAAATATGACTTTTACAATAACAACATCAATTCTGCCAACTTTGGATGACAATCATTTATGGATTTTTTAAAATAAAACTATTACATTCTGTAAGACTTGAAATTGTGGTTTAGTGAATGAGTGAGTGCGCTGGATTTTGTATGTTGTATGAATACAATCGACCAACGGTCTGTAAACTATACACAAAGCAGATATGTACTCTTCAGATAAATTAGTCATTAGCCTATTGACTGAATAACTACCCATTGGTTCTATAGCTTCCTACTAGTATAAATGTATTTTATTGATAATGCACTGATCCTTGTTTTGTGGGGGGGTTTCTGCCTGATATCCATTATTTTTTCATTCCTCTTTGTTTTAAAAAACTGCTGTATTGTTTTTCAAGATACTTTCAACCAGGTGCCAAAACCCATCAAATATTAAAACTGGCTGTACATTGTGGACACTGACCACATTTACAATATTCATCATACCTGTTGGGAAATGTTACATCTCAGATCCTGGAGTAAATCTAACAGTTTGTAGACATCAAAAACATGGATGATCTCGATCCTCTGTAGAGCTGCTATCTGTAAGACGCAATTAAGACATGAAATAAGAATTCATAATATGACTTACTCTTTCCCAAGTTGCATTGCTTGATAAGCTCACCTGCTCAGCTTCCTGTTCAGTCCTGGACTGTACCAACTGCAACAGGCGGGAGGCTGTCAGTCCTCCTGTGGTATCTATATAAAGCACGCTCTGCTTCAGACCGTACGCCACATTGACTGCAATGCTATGGCACACCTGACACAGACAACATTGGTAATGTGCATGAACTTCAAAAAGTTACTTTTCAATCATTTTCCACTTGCATGTGGGAAAACTGATGTTACAAAAAGAAAATTGCAGGTAATAGGAAATATTAACAAACGTCTGTATGTAAATAAAAGCAGAACGCACCAATTAACTATAAAAGTCAGATAATTCAATTAAAAATATAAAGAAGCAATATGTGCAATTGACTAAACAGATAAAACAGAAGATCAACATAGCAACTCGGATCTAAAAAAATACAGGAATGAAAAAATGAAAACACACTAGAGAAGGTAAATATTGGAAACCTCTTTAGAATATCAAAACCATACAGAATGGGCAGAATTGGCAGCTGTAATGCTGAAGTGTGAATTCTGCATTATATTTGCAGTTGAGGAGGGATGGTCTCAGATTCCCTTTGGGAACCACAGTTTTCATCAAACCCAAACACTTTGAGAAAAAAAGCCAATGGACTCTTTGACTCATAAAACTATGGAAAAAAATTAAAACATCTGAGGACATTTAGCATTTTGCATTAGCTACAAAACATTTAAATATTACACAGTAACTTGTTATTTTAAAGAATAAGCATACAATATAAAAATTCCATCAGGTGCATTTATAGTTTGTTCATTGTGTATGTGCTTTTGATAGATTTTTGTTTGTTTGTAAAAAAAAAATAGTGCAGCAAAATGTTTTACATGGATAATTTTTGCATACTGGTTTTCAGTGGTGTTTTTTGTATGTAGATTTTTCCCTTAAATTCCATAAAGCATTCATGGCCCTCACATGTTCAGCCTATAGAGACTAAGGGGCATAACCCCTCATAGAGAAATTTACTAAACTAGGAATGGTGTAATTCTTTCAAAAGTGGAACATGGTTTTTACATATCACACAACTGTCAGCGTTTGGTGGGACTGTTCAAATTTAGGGTAATTCATGTGTAACAGTGAGCCCGGAAAGCCAGACAAGCATGGACGATAGGCTGGGTCGCCCCACTTGACTGATGGGCCTACACAATGTTTCTGCATCTAAATCCCCCATTTTTGGGAGGCATGCTCTCAGGTTGTAGGACCAGGAGTCTTCAAGTTAACAAAAACATGGATAGTTTCTTGGACAAACACCTGCTAAAATTTCTGCAAAATGGTTAAATAAAATGCACTTTAACCAAGACTAACCTGTGTCTTTCCATTGCCAGCTGCTCCGGTAATCTCTGTCACCTCGCCTGTGTATAATCCAGAATCCAAGAGAAAGTCTAGCCTGCAGATTACATATAGTAAAAAATATGCTGGTATTGTTTATAAAGTAAAAAAATTATACCTTAAAGAAATTAAACAAGCAAAGACATGCATGTGTATAATGCTGCTTGCGTGTTTGCTGCAAGATGCTTTCCATTTTCAAACACCACACCAATGTTGTTGGTGCATAATGGTATGCAAGCCGAAGACGCATGGAAATTTAACAACATAGACGTTTAACAACCTGCATAATGATTCAGGGAAACATTGGTGATACCATAATATGGACAAGAGAGTATAAGAGTATAAAAACAAAAAAATACATGTTTATTCAGCATTTACTGCTTCATAAAAATTAGAGTAGAGGACATCACTAAACAAGCTGAGGTGTAATTTGAATGGAAGATAATTTTCAAAGCCTTTAAAGAACTTAATACTAGTAAACATCAAAGCAGACCGCTTTCCCCAAGCTGGAACTGCATTTCTATACATCTTAATTGTAATGTGAAAAAGGACCAATTACTTATGGTTGCCTGTAGGAAGGATGGCAGTGGAGCCCTTCAGTTCTTCATACAAATCTGCAGCATTGGTGGGAAATGCCGAGTACCGAGCAAGCAGCACCCGTCTCACAGCTACCAAAGTCTACAGAGACAAAACAAAAACAAAGGATAAATACAATATGTATTTCACTTACACCAATCACCTGGCAGGGTATCTCAGCCGTCCACACTTCTTAGGGTTATAAAATATCATTATGTAAGATAAAATTAGAGATGAAAAACAAGTATACTAAGAGACCCAAGGGCACACTAAAAATTAGAAAAACTCTTAAAGCAATCTTCATGGTAAAACATCTTAGTATTACTTAACTGCACACTAGCTAGATCCCTAGCTCCACATTTTGTTTTCTCCCCCCAATGCCAGTAAGCGGTAAAAAAAAAAAAAAAAAAACATAGTAAAAACAAATACATTTAAAAAAATTTCTGTGAGATATAGACAACTATGCTAATGAGGGACCTGCAAGTTGTGTTGCAAACCCAGTCATAAGTAATTTCATTCATCAACAGCATGAATGTAGCTACTATCAGAAGCCTTTATGCATGCAACCTGGAGATTACTGGTATCTTGCAAAACCAATGTAACGAAGCTACTTGTGGACTAGTCTACAGCACACTGCTCAGATACCAATAAAACTCTGGAAAGCAATGACAGTACCAGAGCTCATTGAGAAGTCAGAACCTGCGCAAATGAGGGAGTGTGAAAGATGAGTGTCTTTTGCATTATTTCATTTTAAACATTTGCATTCTTTAATTTATTGCGTTAGTCTGCTAAGAAAACATCCAAGATAGTATTTGGATTGTAGCTTACATTATTTCAAATGTAAATTCACATATAAATATTACCTTGTATGACAGAGAACATTTCTGGGCCAATTCTTCTAAATCAGAAGCAACTAAATCAACCACTAAAATAAGAACAAAAAAAGACAATGGGTTGGAGGGTTGGCATTGGACACCCCTGATGTAAGCATTTTCAATACAGTTACATCTTAAAGTAGTAAATCAAAAAGAGGAGTTTCCTATACAACTTATCTTTCAATGGTTAATGACAGTTTATACAGACTAGTCCATTGCATGGGAAAAAAAGGAAAGGAGACAAGACAGTTACCTGAGCTCTCCCTCCTATGCGTGCCCATCATCCAAAACTGGTCTCTTGGTGGTTTTATCTGCAAGGACCCCATGTCACAGTGGTACTCTTGCAGAAATGAGATCCATCACAGACTTTCTAGCGAATGTGTAATTGGATGCCACAAGAATTTATTAAACATGTCATGATTAAATGCCTGTTGCCATCAGCAATGGCAAGTGATGGCTGATGTGAAATGTCAAAATGTAGTGGCAGAAGCAGCTTTAGGATCCGCTATTTGCCAAAAATCAGGCAAGTTTCTGTCTGCTAACATCTTATTTGCACTAATTGCACTTTTGATTTGTGTACACACGTTTTGTTTTACCTGCACCATTTGCCAAAAATCGGCCTGTCAAACGTTGTCCTTACGTCTTATTATTAAAAAGAGTTAATCCAGCACTATGACCAATTAAGTGATTTGAAGTGGTCATGGTGTTTGGGATCTGTATGTGCAGAATTTTACTGTGAAACACTGCACATATGGAGATTACCGCCTCTGCTCTGCTGCCAAGCGTCATTAGCATGCACAAAACAAGAGTTTCAGGCTTGCTAATAACAATTCCGTGCAAATTTGGTGTCTGATATCAGCACACACATCATGACGTCATAGAGCCAATGGTGACACGCCCCCACCCCACATGCTGCGCATGTCCTCACATCAGACCATGCTCCCTCCTAATATCAGCAAAGAAAGATCAGGCAGCAGAAAGAATTTGGTCTCGGCGCTGAAATGGAGGTAAGTTTTTAGAATGTTTTTGTTGTTTTAATGAGGGTGCAGGCTAGGAAGGGTTTTTGGTTGGAGAATCTGTTTAAAGGACCACTCTAGGCACCCAGACCACTTCAGCTTAATGAAGTGGTCTGGGTGCCAGGTCCTTCTAGGGTTAACCCATTTTTTTATAAACATAGCAGTTTCAGAGAAACTGCTATGTTTATGAATGGGTTAAGCCTTCCCCCTAATCCTCTAGTGGCTGTCTCATTGGCAGCCACTAGAGGCGCTTGCGTGCTTCTCACCGTGATTTTCACAGTGAGAGACGCTGAATTCATAGGAAAGCACCAAATGCTTTATATGACGGGCTGAATGCGCCAAGAAAGCCTTGTCAAGCGTATGCATTCAGCCCAGGAGGAGGATCGGAGGAGGAGAGGAGGCAGAGAGCTCCCCGCCCAGCGCTGGAAAAAGGTAAGTTTTAACCCCTTTCCTCTCCCCAGAGCCGGGCGGGAGGGGGACCCTGAGAGTGGGGGCACCCTCAGGGCACTATAGTGCCAGGAAAACGAGTATGTTTTCCTGGCACTATAGTGGTCCTTTAAGTTGAAAAGTTAATGAAATTGCAACAGTCTAAATGAGATGATTCTATCTTTAAAAAAACAAACAACAAAAGTGACAGTACTGCGGTCAGAATGAGTATACACACCTGCTGCTATTGGCATTTAATTCCCAGAGCCAGTTTTACTTTGGTCTGGAGGTGGAAGCACCTGTTCTGGCTGTCAGAAAGATAGCCACTAGAAGTGGATTTAAGCCTGCAAGGTGGACAATGCAGTTTTTAAAATTCGTATTGTGTTTTCCAATTCCATTGTAGAGCTAAAATTACAAGACCACTGAACTCAGACCATGTCACTGAGATAAAGTGGCCTGGATGACTGCATTGTTCGTATCTTTAATGTTAGGGTTTACCTTTATTACATTAAATGTGCATTTTTTTGCGCTACACCTATTTCATTTTATTTGAATTGGTTATAGTGTCTGGAGACTCCTGCCCTGTCTGTAGATTTAGTGCTGAAGCTACACTATTCCTTAGCAATACCAATTCATACCAGTAATGAAAGAATATGATAGACTGAAAGCAGTCAGATGACACTTTAAGTAATTCGTGGCCACCCACTGCTGATCGGGCTAATGCTTCATCATTAGCATGGGCAACACATCGTGGATGGGCTGATGTCGACTCTCATTTAGCATTAAAACTGGTTTAACACTGAACATAGTATCAACACTAGAAGACTCCAGACACTTTAATGACTCCAATGAGATGAGGCAGTTACAGTACCTAAAGTGTCCCTTTATACATTGAAGTTGCTGGTGTCCACAGCTGAATATTCCAAGCCGACTCCAAGCTTTGTGCACTGACAAAACCAGTGAAACATCTATAAAAACTGATATCCAGAATATAATAATAGTGAGAAGACATTTAATTGACAAACTACTTTAGTTCACAAACCAGATGTTACCTGTTTTCACATTGTTCGTTTTTAGCGCTCCAATTATGTCAGCTGTTAATCCAGGACAAAGTCCCTCCCGCAAAATCACCATAGCTCCAGAAAGCTAAATTTCTTCTTAAAAAATATAGATATATAACAGGTGAAATGAAAGTGTCAATTAGTTTGTTTTTTTATATAGGAAATATGTATTTTTTTAAATCAACATTACATTTTGTGGAAGAGAAAGAATTTGATTCAAACAGTAACAGTTTATTCTCCAAATGTTTCAAATGCTCCATTTTATATAGAAAATTGTTGGAAACTTTGCTTTGCCTCTCGGAAGAAAACATCATCTTACAAAGTGACCATAATAATGTCATGGATGCGGCAATGGACTAATCTGATTTCTCTCCCACAGCTGTAACAGATTACAGACATTCGCTACACTTGCTGACTCAACACCTCGATCTAATGGACATATCACTGATCATCAGGTTAGAGCAGGGGTGGGGAATCTTCAGCCCTCCAGATGTTTTGGACTACATCTCCTATAATGCTCTTAAAGCCATATTGCTGGCAAAGCATCAAGAGAGATGTAGTCCACAACTTCTGGAGGGCCGAAGGTATCCCAACCCTGGGTTAGACAGTACACACATCTTTTCCTTAACACTAGATTACTTCCTCATTTTCTCCACTGACATAATCATATCTGAATACACCCCCATCCAGTCGAGGAATTGGCAATTCCTTTTTTATTTACTCAATGGCACCTTTGTAGCAATGTTGGAAACAGCAAGGTGTAACAATGTTTATGATCATTTAGAACACGTGGAGAATCCCATGCTGTGCTGGTGGGCCTTGAAGATTTTAATGCAGGACTACCTTATCTTGTTAGTCTGTAAGTTAAAAAAAACAACAACAAAAAAAACTAGATGCATTATACAGAAACCAAAGGCCTACAGGAGTTGCTATCAGTAGAAAAAGCTAAGCCACAACTAGACCACAAGAAAAAAACGAAATTATTTTACAGTGGAAATAAATCTGGTAAATTCCTTAAGCAATTGGATGGAGAAACCTCTAAACACTGCCAAATCCCAACTATCACAGACCCTTTAAGACCCCGCATATATGGTAATAACCACAAAAACTCCCTCTTCCAAGATTACTTTCAAAAGCTTTACATGGCAGACCAGGATGATGACATCCAGGGTGCGGAACTCTTACATAAAGCATCTCTAGACTAAGTATGATCAACAGGAAATGCTAAATTCTGCAATTACTTTACATAATGTTAAACAGCTATAATCTGCCCACATGAAATGCTCCAGGACCTGATAGATTCAAGTCAAAATATATTTAAACTTTAAAGGAACACCACTTTGTTCAATGGAGGAGATGGGGGTGGTTAGAACCATTCTGTTTCTCAAACCCAACAAAAATCATGATTAACTAGAATCACATAGACCGATCATTAAATCAATATATAAAAACGGAGATCAAAGCAAACAGATTACAAAAATAATTTGCACATATTTTTCTATTAAATTCTTTATTTTTCGTTGTGCGGGTGGGTACAGAATTTCAACAGTTTGCCACAACAGCATATACAATTGCCAATACGTACACATTGGCATGATTGAGCGCATGTTTTAGATATTACATTTTTAACAAGCATCTAAGCTCCAGCCTATAGTAGCAGTATTTAAATAGCACAGGATAGATGTCTGGCTGGTGTGCCTCAGTGTCTGTGGGTATCTCGCATGGTTGTTCCAGCGTGTGTGTGATCTTGACCCATATGTGCGAGGGGAGTATCCCCTGTGATGGGGCTCAACTTCATCTATGCTCGGGTTTGTGAATTTGGGGGCCCTCGCTATGAGGCCAGTAGACCAGTTCAAATTGTGTCAGTGACTTGAGGGATGTAGATTAGTAGGGCCGTTCTGAGAATGTCGTTGTGTCGCATTAGAGGCTATTAGTTAGAAGAGGGTGCTCATGACCTATCCGGTGTTCTAGTCTAGGCTGTGCAGTTACGTGTGACAGTAGGCACCTAGCACAAGTGATGAAGTACTCCTCTGCCGTTTCCCACGGGTGTTGTTGAGGTGCGGAGGCAGGGGTTAAGGGCCGGATTGTCCCCGGACTAACTCCACTTAGCAGGAGGATTAAGTAGAAAGGTACACATTAAAACTTTGTGGGATCTTAAGATCCAAATGAAAACAACCTAAGTGTAAACATAAACATTTAACCAGGTAGTATGGTGCTAAGCACCGTTGAGTCGGCTGCCTTTAGAGGATTAAACTGTTTGGTGGTAACAGTCTGATACCCATTAGGCTGGTTCCGTGCTTCATGTGGGGGCCACTATATTGTCTCGTGCCTTGGTTCCTGTTGCCTGCGTGGGCCGAGTCGGGTTACGCGGGTGCTGTATCGTGGAGCCCCCCCTCGTTGCGGGTGGCGAGAGAGAGTCTCTTGGGTGTCCTTGAGTGTCCAGTAGGTCAACCGCTTGTTACAAGGTTTGCACCGAATAGGTCATGTCACCCCGCTGTATTTGGAGTATCCGCGGTGGCCTCCAACGGTAGTTGATGTCCAGGGCTCTAAGTTGGCTTGTGAAGGGTTGCATGGACTTTCTCCACAACATGGTGTCCCCGGTAAGGTCTTCGTAAAATGAGAGCCTCATGTTCTCGAAGACGTAGGGTGAGGTTCCCCTCAGTGCGTTTAGTATCAGCATTTTGTCTCTGAGGGAGTGGAAGCGTACCACCAAGTCCCTAGATGCAAGTGCTGGGGCTCCTCTCGGCTTCGGTATTCGAAATACCCCCTCAAAGGTGATTTTTTTCGCTTGCTTGGGCTGTAAGAGGGACTCCACCAACCTTCTTTTAAGGTGTGGGAGCTCCCCGTTAGGTATATCCTCAGAGAGCCCACGCAACCTGATGTTTGTGTGGCGCCTGGCATCTTCCGTTTGCGCAAAGCGTTGTTCTAAGGTGGCATGCTGCTTCTTCAGGGCCGTACCTCCGCTTCTAGGGTCTTTAGTGACTTTGTGTGGCTTTCTGATGCCGTCTCCATGGTGGTCAGTCTTCCTACCACGCCTGAAAGGTCAGTCTGGATCGTGGCCATGTCAGCTTGCAGCGTTTTTTGGAGGTCGGCTAGCATATCCTTCAGCACAGCCGCCATCACAGGCACTGGTTGTGTGCTCTGCGGGACCTGCAAGACCTGTGGTGGATGTAGTATATCCGCCCAGCTTCTGCTTTGTAGTATCTCCTCGGAGGAGTCAGAGTTATCGTCCGTGTCGGCGGCCATCTTGGGGCCATAGGCTCCCTGCGCCCGGCGGAGGTGTTCCTGCCCTCAGCAGGTTTGTCTGCCCTGGGTGTTTTGGACCGTCGACCCATTGTGGGCATAGGCGTTGTTTTGGCGGTGGAAAACGTTTTTGTACCGCTGTTTTGTGTTGTTTCGTCCCTGAGCTCATCAAACGTGCGTCTGCTCAAATTGGCTGCTTGGCTCCGCTAATTTGCACATAATTTTCATTTCAAACAATTGTTTGGATGAGAATGGCGACAGCTGCAAAACATCTGTTCAATACTCTCCTGAGTCATCTCGTTTACTCTTACGAAGTCTTGAAGCACATAAGGCATTTAAGCCAGTTGCCTGGCCACACCTGTTCCAGAGCCTGAAATATTGCTTTTCAGGAAAACCAGTTCTTTAACTAATTCAATATTTATATAATTTTCGCAACAGAAGAGTTTTAACCAATGGATTGGACCCTGGAGAGGTGATAATGTCCATGGCGTGCTTGGGGATGTTGTTAAAGGGACACTATAGTCACCCAGACCACTTCAGCTCAATGAAGTGGTCTGGGTGCCAGGTCCCTCAGGTTTTAACCCTTCAGATGCAAACATAGCAGTTTCAGTGAAACTATGTTTACATTTGGGGTTAATCCAGCCTCTAGTGGCTGTCTTCCGGAGAGCCACTACAGGCGCATCTGCGATGCTGGAGGCACATTTCGCCTCCATTGCGCAGAGCATCCATAGGAAAGCATTGAGAAATGCTTTCATATGAACACTTTGAATGCGTGCGCAGCACTTGCCGCGCATGTGCATTCGGCTCCGCTGACGTCGGCGGGGGAGGAGAGATCACCAACGCCGAGGGAGCCCGGTGCTGGATTAAGGTAAGTGGCTGAAGGGGTTTTTAACCCCTTCAGCGCCACGATAGGGGGTCCCTGAGGGTGGGGGCACCCTCAGGGCACTATAGTGTCAGGAAAACACTATAGTGGTCCTTTAATGTTAAACTAAGGCTTTGACATCCTATGTAACTAGCTTCATCTTACAATGAATTAAAATGTAATGTTTTCTTTCTTTCTTTATCTAACTCTACAATGGCCTCAATAAAAAAGTGTTTATATATATTTATAAACTCTAACTGTTGACAAATTGATCATTCTGTTTACAGTATACCCCATTAAAGCTATTATAAGGATGTGGATTACAGTGTAGGTAAACATACAGTGTAGAGACAGATTACCTCTTTCCCGTGATGCCATATTCGGCAATGCACATTCACAAATAAGGGAACAAAACTGATTTGCACTGGATGCCAAACTGTGCTTTGCATGCAATACAAAGAAATAAAAGAAATGTGACAATAAACAGGTTTTTAAAAATAAATATAAGGGCAACTTTTTATTACCTCTGAAGTTTCTTGTCAACATGAAAGAGGCTCACACGGCAGTAGAGCAAATTATTATTTCTTATGTCAATGCCAGCACTCTTATATCCTTCCAGAGTATATGCTCTTAAAATATCCTCAGTTGAGCACTGGTGTATCAGTCACTGACTATTCGATCTGTACTGAAAATCTATAGCGCTGCGCTGGACCGTCCATGAAGGAAAATGCTATAGACTGTCTCTCTATCTCACTGAAATATGGTACAAAGAGGAATATTTATTAAAGTGAGAATTGATGAAAATTCTAATTTCAGGCCAAAGTAGGCAAACTGGAAAAAGTCTCCACATCAGTTATGCTTCCAGTTTGGCTACTTGCACTTCAAACTTAAAATTCACTTTGAACTCCAGAAATTCTCACTTGGTAAATAACCCTAAAAATGTTTTATGGTCGGCCATCTTATTTCTCCAACCTTGGTATTTTCATCTAAAATGTTCCATTCCTTTGTTATTGCTCTATAAATCCTGGTTTACTGAACAACTCTCTTTGACTCAACATCTGTAGTAAGGCTGGCATTTTAAATATGTGATTTCAGAAATAAAAGCATGGGTAACCAAAACTAGGAAATATGTCTCCCTCGTTACTAGGCATGGTTGGCACAGTGATATCCTTTGGAGTGACAACTGCTTTTATCACTGGTTAAAGCAAAGGAGGCAACATAAGGGTTAGTTAAATAAGTATTTTTGAATGTGTGTATCAATTATCATTGTAATTTACTTTATACATTTTAAGACACACAAGCTATATAAGATAGGTTACGTTTTGGGAATTTTGTCTATATAAAGTGATGAACTATATGTTACAATATTGAAGATATGTATAGAGATAAATTATCTCGTTTGGATGTCCCCTACCCCTTTTTTCTTTCTGTATCCTTTATTATTTGGAAAAATAAAACAAATGAGTAAATGGTAAAAAAAAAAAAAAAGAAAAGAAATAAAAGCAGACATTTTGAGACATGTTTATTGCCATGCCAGTGACATTGCTGTTCGTGTTTATGAAATAGAAAAGGAAGGTAATTTCCCGTGACTAACATCCTCGAGCACTACCATTTACGTGATTCTTAATTGGGAGCAACATTTATCTGCCTGAAACCCACTAACGCTAGACATACAAACATTTCTTTCTAACATTAACAGTGTTTCTCTACCTTTTTAGATTATTGGGACCTCCCCCATATAACTTAAATAAAGATGATTCAATAGCTAAATGCATCTATATGAGATGGCTTCAGGATCTTCATACAAAGACAAGATTGTAGGACCACGACAAGAAGTGCATCGAGTGGCTGCGTGAGTGTTGTCCCTACTAATCAGCGAAAAACTCTGACGATACTGTAGATCCTTTAACAGTGTATATACTTTGCAATGATGGTTAATGCCAGATTAAGCTGTGTTGGCAGCACATAGCGATGACGTTAGCCATCATTCCCAATATCCAGAACATCCAAAGTACCCAGTCACCTGGGTACTTTTAGCTGCAGAGTTTATCTATTTCTTGCTGTAGACAAGTGCTGCCATGAAGTGGGTTATTTGTGAACTACAATCACAGCTATTTTTTGTAATATTTACTTTTGCATATCAAACGAATATAATTATAGGAATTCTGCAGGTACTATAACAACTTCATATCAATTAAAGGAGCACTATAGGGTCAGGAACACAAACAATGTATTTCAGACCCTATAGTGTTAAAACCACCATCTAGTCCCCTGCCCCCCTCTTGCCTCCCTAAATATAGTAAACTCTTACTTGTATTCAAGCCTGAAGCTGCTGATTTTGTCCCGGTTTGCCTTAGAATAGCAAGCTGCACGCTGACAACATCAGAAGTGTTGTTCTAAGCCAATCACAATGCTTCCCCATAGGATTGGCTGAGACTGTGAGAGGCAGATCCAGCACAAGTCAAACACAGCCCTGGCCAATCAGCATCTCCTAATAGAGATGAATTGAATCAATGAATCTCTATGAGGAAAGTTCAGTGTCTGCATGCTGAGGGAGAAGATACCAGGGCTCTATTCCTGCAGGAACGCATGGGAACAACGTTCCTGCACTTTTTAAACAGCAGGAACGCCATTACCGTTATTAGTCCTGCAGGACCCAGGGCTGGCACAAGCAGCCGCCAGAGCAGTGGGGAGCACAAATCCGAATCCCCTGCCTGTGGACCGCTGAGGAGTCTGGGAGAAGAGCAGAGGAAGTCACGCCCCCTCCTCCTGACATCATCTGGAGGGGCCGGCCGACTCCACTGACTGCAGGCTTCAGATCCTGTCCCATCCTTCCTGGCCCAAGGTAAGCCTCAGAGAGGGGTTTTTTTTTAGCTCCAGCTCCAGCCCCCTTCCTCAGCCCCTGTCCCCCTCCCCCCCTTCCTCAGCCCCTGAGGAGGGGGACCGGGACTGAGGAAGGGGGATCTGTCCCTGTCCCCCTCCTCAGCTCCAGACCCCTTCCTCAGTCCCTGTCCCCCTCCTCAGGGGCTGAGGAAGGGGACAGGGACTGAGGAAAGGGACAGGGACTGAGGAGCTTACTCAGCCCCTGTCCCCTTCCTCAGCTCTGTCCCCTTCTTCAGCCCCTGTCCCCTTCCACATTAGCACAAGTAATGAGGAGGCTGCAGTGATTAGCTGAGGAGGTCAGCTGATGCTCTCTGCCTAGCAAAATAAACTTATGGAGCTTTGCTAGTGCTGAGCAGCCAGTGATAAGCAGAGGGAGCCAGTTTGGTGATCTTAGCCAATCACTGCCACCTCCTCGCAGATTGTGCAAATGCTTTTGCATTAGTACACACATAATATGAGAAGAAGAGCACCATAACAGGAACATGGGGGCTCCTTTTTAGTATGAGAACTGTTTAACACTTGAAGGTAAGAATGTGCCAGAGGCCTGAAGGTACCATGACAATTTAATTATGATTGTTTTTTTAATTTTATTTACAAATTTTCTTGTAAGCAGTTTGGCAGCACTGATTTTCCACACTGAGCATCAGTCTTCATATTGTTTACTATTTTTAAACTGTATTCCAATGTTGTGGAATTCGTTGGTGCTTTATAAATAGTGATATAATAATATTAATAATGAACTGTTTTACGACAAGGAAGCATTTATTTAATTGTCTTTTGTAGTATACAACAGCCCCTACTTGGAATTCTGGAAATATTCATAAGCCAGCTGAATTTTAGTAGCATAGTTTATTACCCTGAAGACCAGATATACATTAAAGTTGTTTGTTATTGTGCCTAATGACAAACTGAATTTGACCCCTGGTGATGAAGTTTAACCCCTTAAGGACATATGACGATTCCCTTTTATTCCAGAAGTTTGGTCCTTAAGGAGTTAAAGTTGACCTGTCCATAGTTAACCGAACTTTTTTTTTACTGGCTACATAATAATCCATTTACTGAAAGGATTTTCGGACTATAAATAGTTGGACTGGAATATTGGGAAATGTACTATAAACCAACTGGAGTTCCAAAGATAAGCCCTCAGTGGTTTAGTTTATTATTGCACACAGTAAAAAAATAAAAATAAAAAAAATAAACACTGTCTGAGACAACCCAGCGCAATCTACATAGTCCTGGCAGCGAAAAGGTTAAAGTACACAAATCCAGACGGAAGATCTTACCAATGAATGGAGCCTATTAGTGTAACAGGGAGATCTGTCCTAGGAAGCACACGTGAGGAACCGCTAGTTCCTGCCTTGCAAGGGGGAAATCACATGACGTCTCGTAGGTCATGTGATCTCGCAGGTCACATGATATTACTGGGCTCCTGATATGAATGTGTTTAGTTTAGTCATGGACAATAATTCGAATTCGGAATGGGGGAGAACGTGCTGCACTCGGAGCTCTGATTATAAGGATTAAAGCAAGGCAATATAGGATGGTTGGTGAGGCAGCCACCTTTCTTTTGTTAGTAAGCCCTCGGTGGAGAGAATCGCTAAAAACCATGGCTGGGCTCTGGTCAAAGTTATTCTCGGGAGTCAGAGTATATTGTCAAGTGCTAAGAGCCATGTATTTTATTTTGTTTTAACACGAGCTCGTGGTCTAAAAGTTAAATTATTTATATAAATACAATTTAATTATTTTAGACTCTTACACCCACTCCCATCATGCAGAATCATTCTGGCTCTGTTCACAGACCTACCTCAGGAGAACCACATCGGTGTATGGGGGAGATCTTATGGAAAAATGTGAATAATGTTGAACTATGTGCAAATATTGACAAGCTATGTAATGTAAAATGATTATCATTTTGAAAGTTAGGCCAAATATCCAACCATAAATTAGATATAGCAAGTCAAAGGAGTTCTATGGTGTGGCAGTGCACACGCCATGCAAGTATATAGTGCGCCAAAATTCAGAATAGCTTTTGACAAGTCAATAACTTTTATTAATGGACCAATTTCAATGATATTACATACAATGAGTCACTAACGCAGGGCTCCACAAATCCCAGCTCGCCATTGGCGACCAGGAAATTTGTCCTGGTGTTTGGGATTTGTGAGCCTGTTCAGCCCCTGAGGTGACCGGCTGCCTGAGATTGGAGGCGGGTAGTTAGCTCACGCAGGGCTGAGGCGGGCAGGCATGCAGACGGTTGGGAGCTGAGGGAGACGGGTCGTGGATGGCTGAATAAGTGTGGCGGCAAGGGAGCTATAATCTCCCTGTTCTGCTCCCTTGCACACCCTCCAGTGATGCAGGAGCTGGGTTATGACGTCAGTCCGGCCCTGCATCACTAAACAGCGCTCCAGGGATCCGAGCAGGGAGATAACAGCGGCCATACTGGACCCCTGGGAAAGCTGATCCACTCCAGCTCTTCCAAAGGTAGAGAGGCTGGGTGGATTTAAAGTAAAAGTAATGATTTGTGTGTGGGGGAAATTGGTGAGTGTATGTTGCCTGTCAGTGAGTGTGTATCAAATCAGTGAGTCTGTCAGTGAGTGTGTATGTTTAGGTGACCTGCCCCCTACCAATCACTCAGGAAAGATGGTTTTAGTCATGCCGTGCTGGTGACGCCACGGCTGGCCCCACCTCCATTGCTGAGATCATCGGTCTGATGATATCAATCCAATGCTTCCCCATAGAAAAACATTGGGAGACTATTGCGCATGCACGGCAAAACGCCATGTTGCGCAAACAACTGACAAGTTATGGAGGATGACATCTTTTAAATGAGCTCCATTTGCCGTCTCGCAAAGTCGAGCTTTTCCGATCGCATTGTTCATAACATTAGTTAATGTTTAAGGTTTAAGGTCTAGCTCTCAAATTTCTGCACGGATATTGTCATTGAACTGCTCAACTCTATGCTGTTTGTTCGCGTACACTGCTCCTTCAAATATCCCCACAGGAAGTAATCGGGAGCTGAAAGTTCGGGCGAACATTGCAGCCAATTATCCACTCACTGTTCAGTTGTTTTGGAAGATACATTGTGGCTCTGGCTGTATGGGTAGTAGCCCTATCCTGCTGAAACCACATTTCAGGACGATTATCCACTACAGGATGTAAAATATTTTCAATCATATCCCCATATCACACAAATAGAAATTTCACTATTTTTACTTGTTTCTTCGTAAAATTTCACATCTCCCATGAGTGATATGTAATAATATAATCTGTACTTGCAAGAAAAGAATCGGGTCCGTCATGCGGTAAAGTAAACCCCAGATCGCACTGCCCCTGCAGCAGTGATTGCTCTGACAGGCGGCCAGAGCGAGCACATGTGCTGCAGGGACTCCCCATCCGCCTCCCTACTCGTCCGTGTTCTGTGTGAAGTGCAGGGAGACAGATTAGTGATGATCTGCTTCCCCTGTAAAAAAAAAAAATAGTAAAGTTAATTTAAAATCCCACTCCCCTTTACCCATTTTAAATACAAATTAACCCCTTCCGTGCCAATTGATCACAGACTACAGTGATCAATGGCAGGGGCTACATTTTACTGTGATCTGATTTTTTTATTTATTTTTTTATTTTTATTATTCATTTTTTTATTTTTTTTTTAACCCTTGAGGCTCAACTTTTATTTTTTGTAACTCTCAGGGGTTAGTTGATCACTATCTACAGTGATCAAAATACAGACCACAGTATTATACTTTATTTTATTTTTTTAACCCTCAGGGGTTCAATTTATTTTATTTAAATATTTTAAAAAATTATATATTTTGCTAGCTGGGGTGGGTGGGAGTTATGGGAAATTGGGGAATTCACAGTTAGTGCTGCTTACTGCTAGTTAGGGGTTAATGGTAAAAAAAAAAGCTTATAAAAATATTAAAACTGTGGGAGGCGGCGTTAGCAGCCAAGCTGAACGGCCGCACACCAGACGAGCTCCACACTAAAAAAGCCTGAATTAAGCTTAAATAACCACATTAAGCCCTAAAACTTCCTGCTTTTTAACCTCCGAGAAGATGGCTTACCACAGAGGCAGTGCACAAACGAGACCGAGGCTGAAAACAGCGACGACATGCCGGGGATTGACCTGAGGCCTACTCAGACGGCATGGGGAAAGCGGACAATCCATCTACTGACTGCAGACTACTCACATGGAGGTCTCCCCAGCACACTCTCCCCCCTCCCATGCCGGAGAGGGATATCCCGGCACACAGCCCATGACTCAGGAGCATGGCACCACCCTTGGCTTACCTGCACTGCCGATCCAGCGCTGCTTAACATGGCGGATGCCACGTGCCAGCCAGATCGCAGATCCCTAGTGCCACTACTCTCAGACCGGCTGGACCGTCTGCTAGCTAACTTTTGGGCCAAGCACTTGGGCCACAGGAACACTCCAGCAGAGGTCCCATCGGCAACAACCCCACAGGTCACCACGCCACAGTCCGCGGCTCCAGGACGGGGCCAAGTTGCAGTATGGAAGGCTGGAAGGAGGAGGCGGGAGAACCGACTCAAGCATCAGCGGGTCATCGACAGACCAGTGGTGAGTCACCTAACCCAAAAATGACAAACCCCAGGTCTATCCACACAAACCCCCCACCCTTCCAAGGTAATCACTACCCTCCTGGGCGAAGACACCTCGGCAGAGGCCCTCAGACTTCCAGACACGACCCTACCCAGTACCACTACCTAAATGAGCTGTGGCGCGATAAGGGACATCCCCACACTCACCAATCTACCTCGGCAGAGGATTCCAGCGACCACAACCTTCACAATCCCCACCAGGGACAACAAGCCCACGACATGCTGGTCACAAGACGGGACATATGCTACTGAATCATCTGACCACATCCCAGCTGGGAATTGGAAGGGCACCGACTGGGGGGACCACAAAGCCAGGACTTTGTGTCCCTTACCATGGACGTTGCGCACTAGGCCCAACACAATGTGTGCACTCAACTTATGCCTGCACCTGAGTTAGTCATCTTGATAGCAAGCACCATATTTTATATAACAGCACTAGTTTAGCACAAAAATGCAGAAGTCTCTAAGCAAATCTCATTATATCTCTCACTCATGCATACTCTGCAATAGCAACACTTCAATCTCGCTTCAAAACGAATGTAAACCTCTGTTTGAAAAACTGCTTACCCTAGCTGCTGTGGCATTGTAAGTCTCGTGATTTATTCATGCACAAATAAAATAAAGAATTTAAAAAAAATCTATATTAAAACTGTAAAAAAAAAAAAAGTTTTAAGAAGGTTTAGGAAAGTTTAAAAAAAATTTATAAGCAAAAAAAGTTTAAAGAATAGTTTTAAAAAGTAAAAAAAAACATACATTTAAAAATGCTCATTACCACTACACCTAGAACAAACTAGAGAAAAAATGATCCCACGCTAAGGTTCAAAATACGCCTTCTGAATTACCCCATGGTGTATTCTTTAATAAATAGTATGTGTTTGTGGGGAAGTTTCAATAACCAACCAACTAAACTACTCCAAAATAGAACATGGACACAGCGTAAAACTTCAAAGTTAGAAAAAAACTGGCTGCGTCTCAAATGTGCCCCCTTAACATCCACATATACCTGGCAAAAGTACATATGGGGGTATTGCTGTACTCAGACGACATAGCTGAGCAACATATGTAGTATTATACAGTCGTAGCACACACAAGGTTTGCAAAATATACTATGCAAACTCACTTTGTGTGTCATAAAGGCAGAAAAAAAACGCTTATTACCACTACACTTGGTACAAGCTAGTGGGAAAATTTTCCTACGCTAAGGTTCAAAATAGGCCTTTTGAAATACCCTGGAATGTCTTCTTTAAGAAATGGTATGCCATTATGGGGTAGTTGGATTATATAGCCTGCTAAAATGGGACATTGGACACAGCGTAAAAAAGTTTGTAAAAAAACTGGATTGGCTGTCTCAAATGTGCCCCTCCGATGTCCACATATACCTGGCAAAGGTACATACAGGGGTATTGCTGTACTCAGCCGACATAGCTGAGCAACATATGAAGTATTATACAGTCGTAGCACACATACGATTTGCAAAATATTCCTTTTGAAATACCCTGCGATGTCTTCTTTAAGAAATGGTATGCCTTTATGGTGTAGTTGTAATATGTAGCTTGCTCAAGTGCTCCAATGTGGGACACGGACACATCAAAACGCTCCATGAAAATTCACACTTAAAAACCTGAAATTGTTACAGCACTGTAACTTCACAAAATACTGTCTAGGTCATACATTGGGCATATTGTTTTACTCAGAGAATGTAACTGAGTATAATTTGGGGATTTTTATGACAGTGGTACATATTAAGTGTAAGAAATACTCAACACAAATATTGACATAAATTGGTGAAACAATGGTGACACGTTAAGGCACAATATACACCATATAAGATACCCTGAGGTGTCTGCTTTATCAAATGGAAGCCATTTGTGGGGTTATTTGAACAGTCACACTGCTAGAATACCCTAAAATAAGACATAGGCCCGTCAAATCCATCTACGAAAATTCTAACTATAGAAACTGAAATAGCCTTGTCTCTTATATGGCATTGTAGCTTTACAAAAAAGTGCCAAAGGCATACAATGGGGGTATCGTTATACTCAGCAGATGTAGCTGAACACAATATGGGTTTCTGTGCAGGAATAGCAGACACCAGCTTTACAAAATACACATTACAAAAACCTTGTTACATGTGTATATGCCAAAATAAAGAAAAAACACAATTTTACTCCAATATTTAGCAGAGATTGGCGATGAAATGGCTACGTAAAAAGTGTAAAACTGACCTTGGGTAAATAGCCCGTGATGTCTACTTTATAAAAATATATACTTTTGTGTGGCAATTTTGTTTGCTGTGATGGCTACTAAACCGACCAGACAAACATACCAACTTCTAAAATTGTTGCAAATTGAAATTTTATTTTAGTCCTTATATTTTGTATTTTGTGACCTGTAACTTTCAAAATAAGCTGAAATCCTATACATATGATGTACTCTATAAATCAAGACACAAATTAATTTATTTTAAATTACTTTTTCCAAGATGGACATATTATGCACACGCTATTATTGCCAAAACTGTGAAAAAAAAGTTTTATTTTTTCAATGTTTTGGCATTTATTTTTTATAATTAATGAGAATGTATCTATGTATATGTGACATCAAATTAAAGCCCTGTTTGCCCTCTAAAAAAACGATGTATAATATGTGTTAGGTGCAATAAATGACAGAGATGCAAATTGCGTTTGAATACAAACCGCAAGAAAATGCAAAAATGGCTTGTGTCCTTAAAGGATCACTATAGTGTCAGGAAAACAAACCCATTTTCCTGACACTATATAATCCTTGGGGGACCCTCACCCACAACCCTTAAAACCCCTTCAGCGCCAGGCTCCCTCGGTGCTGGTGACCTCTCCTCCCCCCGCAGACATCAGCTCCCGAGTGGAGTGGAATGCGCATGCGCGGCAAGTGCTGCGTGCGCATTCAAACTGTCTATAGGAAAGCATTTCTCAATGCTTTCCTATGGACGTTCTGCACGTTGGATGTGAATTTCGCATCCAGCTTCACAGAAGCGCCTCTAGCAGCTGTCATAGAGACAGCCACTAGAAGTTGGATTAACCCTGCAATGTAATCATGTTCTCTGAAACTGCTATGTTTACATGTGAAGGATTAAAAACCTGAGGGACATTGCACCCAGACCACTTCATTGAACTATAGTGTCCCTTTAAGCTTAACACAAGCTTCTGAAGCTGTGTCCTTAAGGGGTTAAGCTCCGCTCTGTTGTGTTTATGGGGGGAGTTGTTTACAGCTGTGCTGATTATACAGTGAGATATGGACAGGAAACTTATTTGAAGCATAATCTATTCAAGGAACATACATTGTTGTGGTTCATTGAGTGTCCCTTTAAGATGATACATTAAGTCTTTGTTACTTCATTAATATACATTTAAAAATGTCACACATCAATTGAAAGCCATTAATAGATCTAGTAGAGTTTTGCGACTTTTCCATATTATCTCCAAGCTTTACTAATTTTATAAACTACAGATTACATGAGGAAGATGTTTAATACAAATTTAGCAGGGGCAACCTTGGTTTTCACCTTGGTTTTCAACTCATTTTTGTTATGAAATGATTTGTCTAACATCTGGTATTTTAAGTAATTATTGAATGCACCATTTTGTGAAATCTAAAGAGGTTTTGTGTTATTGTGTCATCACCACAGATTTAAAAATATTTAATATACACTGCTTCATTTTATGTACAGATAGTATAGATTGTAAGCTCCTTTAGACAGGTTCCTCTTCACCTACTGTTCCATGTCAATCAAGTATTGTTAGCATTAAATGCCTGTCTTGTTTACCTATTGTACAGATCTGCTATACAAAATTGTAATTGATAAACTGTGTCCTAGAATTTCCTGCTTATTCTTGTACAGTTTCTTTTTATACTGTCAAAAAATTCAAAGGGTTAAGCACTGATTCCATAGCAGTGGCAGCGGCTTGAACAGGCAACTGCCCAATAAAGCTCTAAACTGTTTTATGCAACAATAGAGTCGTAAAGCTCAAGGTAAAACTGGGGCAAATGCGTTCAGTTTGTGATTCTTTGCCTTGTTAAGTTCATCATACACAAGAGTGCTAATAGAAACCACTAATCCAATGTAAAAAATGAAACTCCCTTAAATCCCAGGTAAACGTGCTGAACAATTTCATGACCCTTCTCTACGACCAGGTAAACTAAATTCTCTTCCACTGTTAACAGTGATGAGGTACATTGTAACTTGACATCTTACCCTGCTTCCACTGTCACTGTGTAACCAGCATGAAAACTTTGTGACTGATACTGTGCTACTTAAAGCAGTCTGATCTGGATGTAAAACACTGTTGTTACTTTTTCCAATGATCAATTAACCCGACTTAATCTTTCAAATAGAATTGTGCATATTGCGTGATCATTGTAAATGACTCTATGTAGCCATGTGTAATATATTGAGTCAAAACAGTGAGTTTAAAAAAATATTACAACCTCTACTTTTTTAGAGAATTTCACAGATAAACTCACATGGTAGCAGAGTTGACACTGCATCAAGTTATACTTGGATAGCAAGGTTCAAATGTGCTGGTTAAGGTGCTGGGTTCACCATTTTACTTGTGTTAACTAATATTTGATATTGTACAAGTAGGTACGGGCTCAGGAACCCATAGCAAAATTGGTTCATTATTATTATTTGTATAGTGCCAGCAAGTTCTGTAGCGCTGTACAATGGGTGGACTAACAGACACGTAATTGTAACCAGACAAATGGACGCACAGGAACAGAGGGGTTGAGGGCCCTGCTCAATAAGCTTACATGCTAGAGGTGGTGGGATATAGTGACACAAAGGGTATAAGTGGGGATAATGAAATAGGTTGCTAGAAAAGTATACACTGAGAACTTATTTAGTTATTTTTGACAGTTGCAGGAGAGGAGTCATGGGGGAGAAAAACCGCTAACTGTTTAAATTTATATGCTTTCCTGAAGAACTGTGTTTTCAAAGATTTTGTGAAGGAGTGGAGACTGTGTGAAAGTCTAACGGAGAAGGGAAGGAAGTTCCACAGAAAAGGTGCAGCCTTGGAGAAGTCTTTCAGGCGACCATCAGATGTGGTAGTACGGACAGAGGATAGACGTAGGTCTTCGGCAGAGCGCAGGGGCCTCGATGGGACATACTTGTGTATTAGGGAGGATAGGTAGGTCAGAGCAGCATTATGTAGGAACTTGTAAGCAAGCACCAGAATCTTATATTGAGCCCTATATCTAACTGGAAGCCAATGTAGGGACTGTCAGAGGGGGGAGGTATGAGAGGTGCAGGCAGAAATGAAAATGAGCCTCGCTGCCACATTCATTGTAGATTGCAGCGGGGCAATCTGGGAACATGTAAGACCACTGAGAAGGGGATTGCAGTAGTCAAGGCGAGAAAGAACAACGGCATGGACTAGCATCTTAGTCGCATCTGGTGTTAAATAGGGGGGTGGGTGCGAGCTATGTTTTTGAGATGGAAGAGGCAGGAATTGATGATTGACTAGACATGATGGGTGAACACCTAGGCAGCGAACCTGCAAGGTAGAGGTGATGGTGGCGCCATTGACTTGGAGGGAGACCGACATGGGAGTAGCAACACTTGAGGGAGGAAAGACCAGAAGTTCTGTTTTGGACAGGTTGAGTTTAAGGAAGTGAGCAGCCATCCAGTTGGAAATCGCGGAGAGGCAGTCAGAGACACGAGTCACTAACAGGTTCGCCGGAGGATGTCCGGGCTGTCCACATAGTCTGTTGGGGTAAGAGGCTGCCCGGAGAACCGGCCCGTAGTCTATGGGTAAGAGGCCCACCTCCCATCCTCTCCAGCAGTTCAACAGTTTTTTTTTCTTCCCCAGCCTGCATGAGGACCCCTTTATCCATTTTAAGCTTTGCGAGAGTGGGACTTGTTTGTTGCCCACCCATAATCAACAAAAGGCCCCGCAGAGTTTGGAACCAGGGCCTGATACCAAACACCCTGCCAGCCCCAGATGCCTACTTTAGCGAAGTGTAGTGATTCAGGGCCAGCTGTCCAGCATCCCCAAGGACCACAGGTGGTGACCACAGTCTCATCCATCTGTATTGGGTAAAGGTCCCTCAATGCTGGGTCTGTACAGTCCCTCTCCTCCAAAACTTCTGATGAGGGAAAGCAGAGGGCAATGGCAGTCTGCCCTGATGCCAGCTCTTTTGTTGGTGGGAGGCTATGAGCTCTGGTGACCGCCACTTGACTGCCCAGCATCACCACGACTTGAGCACAGAGATTAGCAATCTCTACCCAGCGGCGTTCTGCCCCGTAGCCAGCACTTCAGCTGGGTTGGCCTGTTCGCAGTCCGGCTCAGGAAGAAAGGGAGGGCAGAAGTCAGCTCTTCTGCTGGGAAGGTGTCAGTGGAGACCGCAGTCCCATCCACTACACCTGGAACCCAGTCGGTAATCTGCCGCTGGAAAGAAGGGTCGACTACGTCCTCTTCCTTGTGTTACCACTGCCGCTGGGGAGAGAGAACACTCGCATTCTCTCCCTTGTACTCACGCTGTTGCTGAGGAGGGACAACACCCTCTTCTCCCAGGCGTTTACACTGCTATTGGGGAGAGATGCTGTCTGCATCCTCTTCCTGGACTGGACTCTGCCACTGGGGATCTGGGAAGGCGGCTGATCACCGCTGGTCACCAGTGTGATGGGTCCCCTGTGCCCCCAACTGAACACACCCGCCAAACTTCCCTGTGCCCCAACTTCCTCCCACCGCCAAACCACAGATGTTAGCCCGTTCACGAAGACTCAGTCTGCTAACACCTCTCCCCTAAGAACAGCAGACAGAAACAGCTTGAGGATTGAACAGGAACTCACTTTTATTAGACACACCTAGGTATTTGTATATAAGTAAACTCCACACCTGCCAACTTGATGTCTTCCCAGGACCAGTCTACAGTCTATTAGATCTCCTATTTCTGGAGTTGGTTGTGAGGTAGGTGGTACAGCAGCTAGGATCTCTAACCCTGGGTATTGCGGGTCCGGGTCATCCACCCAGCCTTCCAGCTCTCCATTTACAAAAGCTACGGTTCCATCTGCCTCGTCAGCTTCAGGTGTCCTGTCTCCAGACTCCTTGTATTCCCGTGGAACGTCGTCACTGGTTCTTGGAGGAGCCTGCTGAACAGCCTCTTACCCTGTTACTATGGCACCTGCAATGGACCTGGCTAAAATACTTTAAAAGACTCTGTTTATGTGAAATATGTACTTTTGAGACCGACCCTTAGCACTAATTCTCTGGAACTGTTTTGGGCATGGGACCATGTGCACGGTCGGTCAAAAATAAGACTTCCATAGTCTTCTTGAACCCCTGAACTGATCTGGGTTATTTTTGGATATGTTGGTCACCCAGATCAGGCTATCAGGGGATGTAACATTTGTGAGGTTTTATGTATTTTTAGGGTACTTTTGGGATGTTTTAAAAAAGTGTTTTTTCTGTGCTTGGAGATAATTGGATTAGAATTAGTGCAGTTACTGATCCAATTATATCCCAAGCAGAGGGGAGGGATTGTGGGTGGAGGACAGCGAGACCCCAACCAAGCTGCGGCAGTTCATGGGGTTTACAAAGGTTATGGTGTTCCAGTACAGTGCTTATGGTGCTCGCAAGTACTAGGAAGCAGCGATTGACGGAGGTACCCAGTCGAGGTGCCAGGGGGTCCGTCACAGTACCACTCCTGGTACACTAGCCAATTAAGATTTTGACCTAGGGCTAGTACCTCCGAGGGGCTGCAGTTTCTCCTGCCTCTTGTCTTGGATGTCCCAAAACCTATATCCTTCAGGAATGCCAAAGTCTTGCTTTTATGCAAACACCTCCCATAGTAGGCCGCTGCTGCCGAGATAGTCCCTTTCCAGGAATAGGGTGTCTCTGACCCCACCTGCTGTTGGTTCGCAAACCAATATAATGCTCGATATCCTTCCTCGAGCTGCTTCTCTTTTCGCACGAGCCTCCATAACTCAGCTGCTTCGCAGCTTGTAGGTTGATCCCCGTGGACGTGGAACCGCAAATTTACCTGGTCCCCTTGGCTCTGTTCTGGGGTGGCCTCTGCGTCTGTGCCACTCCTCGCGAGCATCTTCTCACAACTCTAGCCTAATCAAGGCTCTCCATTCCCGGGAATTCTCCTCTGGAATTGAGCCCCCTATCACTGCGAGGGCAACTCCAACTCTGCGTTCGAAGTCCCAACCTGGAGCTTCCCAATCAGAGGTATCTGTCCCCAGCATTTCCGCCATCCGAATCTCCTTAAACCGTGTGATCTGTTTCCCCACCTCCGTCCTAGTTACTCGGACGGCTGCCTTAGAGGGACAGGCTCTGTAGATTGCCAGCCTTCTCTGTACTCCTGCTGTGATTCCTCTTTTCCGCTTTCAGCATCGCCTTGTATCCAGGCGTCAGCATCAGCCATTCGCACTCCATGGCTCTCTCTTTTGGCTCTTCCTCGATAGGTTACACTTTCTCTTCTCTGCTGTGGTTTGGATCCTTGCTGGAAGAAGCAGATCCCGCCACTGGTCACCAGTGTGACGGTTCCCCTGTGCCCCAACTGAACACACCCGTCCGAACAGCTTCTTCCCACCGCCAAATCACAGATGTCAGCCCGTTCACAAAGACTCACTCAGCTAACACCTCTCCCCCAAGAACAGCAGAGACACACAGCTTGAGGGTAGAACAGGAACTCACTTTTATTAGACACACCTAGGTATTTGTATACAAGTAAACTCATTAGTAAACACACAAAGGTTTGGAACAGCAACCAATCAAACTGGGCCTAAACAAACAGCCAATCGCACTAAGCCCATTAATAACCAATAGGTCACACCATCACAGAACACCTACTTTGCATACACAGGAAAACATTATGCATTAGGTAAAGGGATTAACACACAGTCAACAATAAGTAACTCTGCTCCCTGAGTCAAAAAGGGGAAAGTCCCAACCCCCACCCACGTAGTCACACAGTCTCTGGTTCGGCGCCATCTTGTCTCTTGTCGTGACTAGGTCTGTGTGTTTAAATGGCTGCTTCCCACCAGAGCCCACCCAAACAAAGGAGCCATTGGTGCCCAAGTGACGGCGTACCAGCGTCCCGTCACAGAATGCTTGCTGCATTTAAATGATGTCAAGTTGAGAGGAGAGAATGGAATTGTAGAGTGAGGTTGCAGAGTTAGGGCAAGTGAGATTTGAGATGGGTAATATGAGAGTTTGGAGTCTGGTGGAGAGATGCTGGAGATCAAGGCAGTAGAGGTTTCTGCGATATTGGAGAGTTGAGGGTGGTGAAATTTGGGTACGGGGTATGCAGATGGTGGTCAGATGAAGGAAGTGGAACATTGGAGAGATTAGAGGTGGTACAGAGATTGGTGAAGATGAGGTCAAGAGTGTTTCCAGCTGTATGAGTTGCTGAAGTAGATCACTGTGTGAGGCCGAAGGAGGAGGTTACAGAGAGCAAACGGGAGGTATCATGGCAGTTGAGGTTGTTGATTGGAATGTTAAAGTCCCCAAGTATGAGGGAAGGAGTGCTAGAGGATAGAAAGTGGGGTAGCCAGGAAGAAAAGTGTTCAATGAATAGCCTATGATTACTGGGGGGCGAGGGGCCATAGATGATGGCAATTCTTAAAGAAGTGGGATTAAATATGCGGACAGGTTGAAAGGTACATTGTGGGGAGAGAAGGATGCCTACACCCCCGCCTTTACAGTTGTGTCTGGGAGTGTGGGAGAATTGTATTCCACCGAAACAAAGAAGCCGGAGTAGCCTGTGTAGAATATTGCATATTCTATGTTTCTATTGATTATATATGGATGTGTGGATTGACATAAGTAACAGATGGTATCAATAAGTCACAAGGCTTTCTTTGTCCGAGAGCTCTGGAATGTGGATGTGGGGGGTTTGTCCTTATATGGCTAGAGTTATATGCTGACGTTAGTATTAGCACATCTATATAGTAACAGAGGGACACGAGATCGGGCTCACTCTTGGCTTGGCTCTGTACAACGATGTAACTCTCCCATCAGAAGTCCAGCAATTACCATCTGCTGTTGAATGTCCATTATCCTGTAACATCATTTGTTGTTTTATGTATCCGTAACTAAGAATAAACCTGAAGAAACCGTAAGTCAGATTGTGTATTACTACTTTTCAATAATATAGACATATATTATTGTGGCGAGCATTTGGCCCAAGAATATATATACAAAAGACGTATATATATCAATCAACTGACGACAAGAAGAAATTAAGAAAGAGTCTACATTAACATCCATTCATCTAGTTTTTTACAGCCTGAAAGCTACTTGTTGCATATGGCAGTAGAACAGTTGATGGACCTCTGTGTTGCTTGCAAGTCTGGGGCTGGATAGATTTTAAATCAGGCTGAGGGAGAGATATAAATATATTAGGGTCAGATGGGACTGGAATAAAACCTAAGGAATGGTGAAGATGCATCTATGTATATTTGAGGTAAGGGTCATTCAAGCAAAAACAAAGGGAATGATAAAAGATTACAGAGATAAGACAGAGGTATCCGTGTAGGGAAATAAAACCATTAAACACATAACAAGAAAGATATATGGGCCGAAACTGTTTAAACTAACTTTTAACCTAATGGACAAGACATAAAGGTGATAAAATATGCCATGTGCCAGGGAAATGCAAAGCATGGCTAGCACAGGCTTACTAGAAGATTTAATTTGCTTAGTATCTCAGGAACAAAACACAGGACCTAAATGGATAAAGCCCTTCAGCTTACATTAGTGCTCTTATGAAGAGTGTGTCCACCCAATTCATCCATAAAATGTTCCTGGCTAACAAGAAACTGCTGGCCACATATTATTTTTCCCAGATCCACATATCCTCACCGCCCAAACTGCCCAACATGTTTAAATGGGAGAAGGAACTGGGGAGGGAATTCTCCCCCATTCAATGGCACAAAGTGGATGAAAGGGATGTCCAGAAATATTAACCACATTATAGAGGGGTTATGAAGACAAGCCTAGTATGACAGATAAAGGGGTGTCTTGATTACGTAAAAAGTTAGACATTTGGTGTGACTCTGGGGTATAATGGGAAATTGTTTCAGATGCAATAATTCCAGAATAAATGTGTGGACCATCAACTAGGGATTGACCGGTATTGATTTTTTTTTTTTAGAGCTGATACCGATAATCTGTGAATTTTCAGGCCAATAACTTACCGATATTCTGTACTTTTATTTTGTAGGTTTTTTTTTTTTTTTTAAATAAACTATTTCTACACAAATCTACTGTTTACTGAACATGTTTATTATTTATTTTTTTAGCATTTTTTTTTTATTAAGGTAAACGCACAAAATATATATGCTAGTCAGAATTTTTTATGTTTTCAAGAATGTGTGTGTGTGTGTGTGTAGTGGATGCAGTGAGAGTATTTGATTAATGAATGCAGTGTTTGTGTAGTGGATGCAGAGTGTGTGTGTGTGTGTGTGTGTGTGTGTGTGTGTGTGTATAGTGGCTGCAGTGTGTGTTTGTGTAGTGTGTGTATACAGGCATACCCCGCTTTACATACACTCGCTTTAAGTACACTCACGAGTACAGACATTCCTGCGAGTGTACTTAAAGGTGCCTCGCAAGTACAGACATTCCCGCGCCTCTTTTGTCCGCGAGTGAACAGGAAATGGAAGGTTCTATTCTCGCCCGGAGCGGCTCAGTTCAGTGTCACAGGGGCAAGAACTTTTCACACCTTCTGACATGGCACAGGTTAATCATCTCAAATTCACAATGTCTACTCCTAACTGAACATTGATGTTATTTTTTTGTGCCCCTACATTGTCCATATTCTGCAATCAGCAGTGGCGCACATACCGGGGGTCGCGGCTGCCCTGCGACCTGGTATGTACCCAGTGTGGCCAGCCTCTTCTCCTGGGGGGCCCAGGAGCCGGCCACCTCAAGGCCCCCCGAGGCTGGCCCTTGTGTCACCCAGCGGACGGGCTGGCGGGCGCGCGAGGGAACACTCTCCCCTGAGTGCTCCCTCTTCAGCTCCCTCGCATGCCGCACTAATGCCGGACCCGGAATATGACATCATATTCTGGCTCCGGGATCAGTACGCGGCGCGCGAGGGAGCTGAACAGGGAGCACTCAGGGGAGAGTCCTCCCTTGCACGCCCACCAGCCTGCCCGGTGACCAGCCGCCCAGCAACACCACTGGACCCAAGGGAATCCCCTTAGCACTCCCAAAGGTAGGGAGGCTGGGGGATTACATTTAAAAAAAAAACATTTGTGTGTGTTAGTGTTAGTTTTTGTGTCAGTGTGTGTGTTACTGAGTGTGTTTTGTAAGTGAGTGTGTATGTGTCTCTGTCAGTGAATGTGTATGTATGTCACTGAGTGTGTGTCTGTCAGTAAATGTGTATGTGTGTCTGTTAGCTAGTGTGTATGCATCTGTTCGTGAGAGTGTGTGTGTCTGTTAGTGTGTATGCGTCTGTTTGTGAGTGTGTCTTCAACACTTACCTTTCTCCAGTGCCGGACTCCCTTGGCGCTGGGGATCCCTCCGCCCCAATCCGCCTCTCAGCTCCGTATGCGCATGCGCGGCCTGAGCTCCACGCGCATTCAAACCGCCCATAGGAAAGCATTACTCAATGCTTTCCTATGGACGTTCAGTGTCTTCTCACTGTGATTTTCACAGTGAGAATCGTGGAAGCTCCTCTAGCGGCTGTTTTTACTGTTTGTCTTAACTGAATAAAAGCCCACTGGAAATCACTAAATAAATCACTGGTAATAAAATCACTGGAAATATGCAGCTGCAGTATCAGTTATGCCTGTAAATTACTATTGCAATGCCGTACTTGCATTGGGAAGTGAAAAAAAGGTATTGCTTCGCTTTAAGTACATTTTCGTTTTACATACACGCTCTGGTCCCATTGTGTACTTAAAAGTGGGGTATGCCTGTATAATGAATGCAGTGTGTATACAGAATGCAGTGTGTGTGTTTGTGCAGCGAGTGTTTGTGTAGGTATGCTAAGTGTGTAAAATGGGGGCATTTTTTTAAAATAATATTTAATTCTTCTTCATATTTATAGTTAGCCATTCCTTTTAGTTAGCAGAAGTTGCAAACCACCTTAACAATATTTTTGCTCAGAACCATGACAGGCACAGGAATGCAGGGAGCAATGGCACTTACAAATTAAACACACTGGCTCCTAACTTGTATTGAGTGTGTCTTTTTTTTTTTTTTAGCATAAGTAGAAATCTTTTTGTTTGTGTAAAAAAAACAAAAAAAACTTATGCTGACCTTGGCCTGTCTGACTATTCTCTACCTTTTTCTACACATTTACCTACATTAAGTACGGCCAACCTAAGGCCTGGTAATATTTCTTTGTTTGTAGGTAAAGGGCTCCATTGTTTGCATGTGTGGGTATTAGTCCTTGACACAATCAACTTGTCCATTTCATAGGTGATGCGGATTTTGCGTTTTACTGTCATTGAGAGTATTCTCTTGTCTGCCCACAGTTCTGAGAACCCACTTCTTGTAGGATTCCATAAGACAACCTCATACAAACTGGGTGTTCGGTGCCCATATTGTAAATTCAGTCTTTTGCCTTGTTGAAGACTGCATATGGTGGTTTCTCTGTTGTCTGTATATTAAAATCTTCATATAACAGATCTGATGCATGAAAATAAGGCTTCAAGGAATCCAAAGGTTTATCCTTTGATTCCGGTATGGTCTGAGCCCAGCCTAAAGGTTCATCACTGAGAAATGATATAACTGAACAAATGTATTTCTTTCAGTGAAAAATGTATGTGGCTTTAGTGTGAACAATAAACTAAAAGCATTCTGAAATTCCCCATCTTTTCTGTGGTCTCCAGTAAACTGGAATTCAAATGGTTGGTATAGCTGGTTTGTGTGAGGCTCTTACATTCCTGGGGTAAGTATATCTACACTCTGATTTCTTGAGGAAATGTTTTCATTCATCTCTTCTGTAACGTTAGAACCATATGCAATAATAGGCAGTATTTGGAGTTGCAGGGAAGTGATTCAGGAAGCAACTTGTATGTTAATAACTTCAGGTAAAGGCAAGATGTAAGTGTGGGAATGGTGTGACAATTGCTGGCAGAGGCATAATACTTGAAATGTATGGAGGTTATAAACTGCATGCCACACAACAACAAAGGCATCAAAGTCTAATTGGCAAACAGAAAGGAAAAGCAGAATTTAGTCTGAAGTCAGAGAGCGAAATCACCATAGTCTCTTTCAAAGCAGGAGATTATAAACTGTAATAGCAAAAGGCAATTCACTGGCGCTTTAAACAACTGCTAAATCCCTGCATGAGTCTGGTTTCGGCCTACTAAAGGGATATAACAGTGAATGGAATAATTTTATTTATTTTTTTTCAGATACATGTTACGTTAACAGTCACAAGTGACTGGGAAACTACTTTCTTAATCTGGTTGAATAATTAGGCCTAGGTCAAGTCAATCTGGTTCAGCCTTTCACATCTGTATTATGGCTGGTGATCCAAAAAAAGGCAAACAAACTCAATTCAAAGTGTTTCTAATTTTCCAAAAAATGGAGGAAGTATCCTTCTTGACTCCAAAGTGTCATATTTCAAGTTGTTTAGCCTTTCTTCATAACTAATATATTCCATTCATATAATTAATTTTGTATAATTATTTTGTTTATTGTCATTTAAAGTTGCAAAGAATTGTCTGCATGTGTCACACTGAAGTATCCCTATGATCTTTATGATTTTATTTAATCTAAATCACAACTATATGCACTTTTCACTAGTACAAATTGTATTTTGTTTCTCACTTTTAAAAGATTACCTGCCATGCCTTGTTATATGTACTATAATTGGAAATTTTCATCTATTTTTGTGCTAGCCAAATGACTAGCAAATGTATAGACGTATAATGCTGCTAAGTTTGTGCTCCCTCTCCCTCCTGGCACGCGCCTATTATCACACAACCTGTTCATCATCAGTATCCATGTGTAAAAGCCTTGCTAACAATATGTTACTAATTTGATTGTGCCCTCCACCCGAAACCCAAGCTTGCTGTTGAAGAAGAAAAAGGAGCAGAGTGACTGATGTCACTCTCTTCTATGGGGTGATATACACATGAGCGCCGTCATGTGGACAGTGGCAGGCATGGGTAAACCATCAGAGGCTTCCCAAAGAGAGGCAGGACAGAGAAGAGGGTCTATTTCCACAAATTCTATATAGCTCACAGCTAAAAGATAAAGTTTGGAATAACATTTTTTTTTTTTTTCCAATGAAAGTTTCAATTATTCTAGTGAAATGTTCTGCACATGCTAATGATATAGTTAAAGATAAAGTTTAATGGCTCCTTAAAAAAATAAAATAAAGTAAACAAAAGGTACTTCGCATTGTTTATCAACCAACAAAGATCAAAGTCTGAGTGACAGTGTTCTTTTACTCCATAGCACTATGATGACCTAGCAGCACTAAGCTTTAAAGGAATGCTAACAAAGTGCAAAGATTGTAGTGAGTATAAG